GAGGAAAACAGCTAAATATTATTTGACTCCGGCATGAAAAAAAAAACCTAATTTATTTTGGAACATAGTGCCGATTGTCAGATCTTCTATTGCTATATTGCAATATTATTCTTGTCTATAATAAGTATCTAAGGTCAAGTTGTATCTAAGAGTCTAAGACAATTCAGAATAAAGAGCTGATTATCCAGATCAGTAGTCCCCAACCTTTTTTGGCATCAGGGACTGGTTTAATGGAAGACAAATTTCCCATGGACTGAGGGGAGGGGGAGGAGTGTGCAACCTAGATCCTTCACATGTGCAGTTTACAGTAGGGTTCACACACCTCACTCTCCATTTTCTTTGCGTGTAAGAAGCCCCTTTGAGATGCAAAGGTAAAATGACAGCATGTTGGCATCCTTCCAGCTTTTAGACCTTCGAGACCGTCTTCTGCCACCAATAGCCTCCCACCGACCAGTCCGCTCCCACAGAGAGGGTCTCCTCAGGGTGCCATCAGCCAAGTTATGTCGGCTGGCGACACCCAGGGGGAGGGCCTTCTCTGTGGGAGCCCCAGCCCTGTGGAATGAACTGCCCCCGGAAATACGTAAGATCTCCAACCTCCGGGTGTTTCGCTGCGCATTGAAGACCCTGTTGTTCCGCCAGGCCGGGCTATCAACATAATAATTTTAAATTGGGGTATTTTAAATTTTTGGGGTTTTAAATCGGCCAAATCTATTTAATTATTTTAATTTTTAATCATTGTTGTGTCTTGTGTTTTTAAATTGGCTGTACACCGCCCTGAGTCCTTCGGGAGAAGGGCGGTATAGAAATAAAATTATTATTATTATTATTATTATTATTATTATTATTATTATTATTATCATCATCATCATCATCATCATCATCATCATCATCATCATTGGAATTATGCACCTGTATCTATCATTGTGTTCTGTCACACATACTTGGAGTGGGACAGATAAGTTCTAAACCCTACATATGTACAGGCTGCTAAACCTCAAGTCGGATGGAGAGAATAATAGCTGTCCTGAACTTGAAACCTGGAATTGAATCTTCTCCCAATCAGAAAGTTAATCATCCACAAAATCTGCACAAAATCTGCAGAACATCAGCAATTCAAAGGAAAACTTCAGCTTTCCTGTCATTTCAAATAAAGAGGAGAGCCAAAAAGAAAGTACTTCCCTTTCCAAAAGCAGTTAGTATTGAGAAACTAAACAAGTCCAGAGTCAATCCCAAAATGGTGCAAAACATTTCATGCGGAAGTGCTACTCATAAAGTTACCTTCTATCTTATGATCTGTATTTGGCTTACCTCTGAGGTTAATTAACCCTTCTCCCTCCTAGCAGCAAGCATAATGTAGCTTTCCACAACTGATTATCCTCTAGATATGTGTATTACAATTTGTCTAGTTCTGTGTCCACATGTCTCACTGCCTGAAAATTCTGGAATTTTTAGTGGAATAACAGTTGGGGAGTGGGACTCTTGGGAAAGGTCCTCTCGTACAGCATAAGATGACATAATTCAGCATAAACATCTGATGGTAAATTTTCATTCACAGAATTTGCATTATTTTGCTCTTTAAAATATTCTGACAATTTAGTTTAACGTCTGGAAGAACTGTTTGAAAGTAATATTAATGTATCTTAGTAGCAGCTGTGAATGGTCACTGAGAATCATGCAATAATGAATGGAATTTGTCCAAATGAGCATGTTTATAATTGGAGTATCTTATCTCATAATAGAGGTTTACTATAGGTGTGGCTTTAGTTTGATATTAGCATACATTTTCATTTTATGACCAGTAGGGGGCAATTAAACATAAGGTATTTATTGTATTTCTTTCTAATACAATAAAAGCTGCTAATTAATTCACTCTATTTCTGTTTGAGAAAGAGGCTTTAATCTGTAGTTTTTTTGCAGAATGCAAGTTAATCTGTACTACTGAACCTGACTCATGGGACCGGAGAGCAGAGAAGGCTGTGTAATCACTGGATTTGGCAAAAATTGCACCAAGACACACAGCAACAAGCCTATAATGGGATGGAGAAGGCTCAAGTGTGTGAATGCATGCAGAAACAATATCTTAATCAATTAATAAGGGCCAATGTGTATCATAAAGAAAGGCTTAATTTATAGAAATTTTCATTATTAAATGTGCTGAGACCCATAGAGTCTCAATTCTTTTTAAGTAATTTATTTCTAACATTTGGTTGGGTTGGAAAAAAAAAAAAAAAAAAAACACCCAGCTCTAAGAAAGGGAATGGCAACCAAAATTTGCAGTGTGTCTTAAATCTACATCTATGCACACACACGCACACACCCCTCACAATGAGAGGTATAAGCAAGGGTACTTGAAGCACAAGATTGTTCACCTTTTTGTAGGTGGATACCATCTGTTAAACTGTATGTTGCAGGCTGAACCTCTAAACATAGACAAGGCCAGGAAAATTAAACTAGTTGTGATTAAATAAGTTTGTGTGAAGCTTCTGTGTGCAACTTTTATTTTTCCCCTTCTGTTACATTAAAAATTATAGTTGGGTGATAATTTCAGGAGATGCTCTAAAGCATCTGTTTGCACATTCTTACCATGCTGTTTATAGGCCCTTTATCTGCAGTATAATTTATTAATGTCCACTTAATTAATTAAACTGTTTTTATAAGAGGAATTGCATTATAGAAATTAGTGCATTCCAACAAATTTGAGATAATTTGAGTAAATGCAGTTTCCCTTTAGCCAGAAAGCAATGAAGCACAACCTTATGCATCCTGCTGCAGTTTTTCTATGTCACTGATTAGGATAATGAGAATGGATTTGTATGAAATCTTGCTGCCTGCAAACAAAGTGCTACCACTGCCGATTTCAATTAATCTCAAAAGGAATATCTAAATTCCTTTCTAGGTTTGAATATTTTATATTTAAGTCATCAAGTATAACATGATAGTCATGTTGAGAAAATGCTTTTATGAAGTATCTGATGTTGGTAATTGAGAATTACACATTCTGTAAGATTATTGATGAAAGTAACTAGAGGCTGCAGTTCTAAGAATACATACTGTACACAAAAACACTATTACACATTTTACATACGTTTTCATGGGAAGTAGAAAAAAGTTAAAGATGATGATTGGGAGTGTGTAAAGCTCAACCTCTTCAAATATGTGTTACAACACACATAATAGAAGAGCCAAGCTTGATTCATATGGTCATAGTCATCATCTTCAATTTTTTTGCACCTATCTTCAGATGCTCCTCAAACTGGAACTTCATCAAAGAATTTTAAAGTTGTTGAACAATTTTCATCTCTGAAAATATATAAACGTGTGCTTGTGTGTGTGCATGTGCATGTATGTTTTCGAGGATGGCCAGGTCAAGAAAGAACTCTACAGGGATTCCTGGAGTGCTACTTTATCATCGTAGGGTATATTAGAAGAAACTTGAAAGCCTGTTTGAGTTTCTTCTTCCAGTCTCATCTGATGCTAAACAGTGAAAGTGGGATTATTTTGAGCTTCTTTCTCACTCTTGCTTCAAACTCTGGATTGTGGAATCCCTCTCTTAGTGTCTTGCTCCTTTCTTCCCCTCTTAATGGCTCTTTCATACCTTCTTCAAGAGCAAATTTCTTTACAGCAGCAGTTCCCCAGCCTTTCTGCCTTTGCGGACTAGCAGTGGTAGCGGCACTGGGTGTAGGAGGGGATGGTTTCATGCATGGGCCTGCTGCTTACACAAATGGAGCTTCGCAAACACACATCTGCTTGTGTGACCTGGTTCCCTACGGATCATGGACTGATACCAGTGTACAGACTGGGGGTTGGGGACCCTTGCTTTACAACATGTCTGTAAGTTGATTGACAAAACATACAAAATAAAAAGAATGATAACCTTTAAATTTGACTATCCATATTATGACATTTTCTGATTTTAAAAAGGGAATAATCACCAATGCTGGAAAATCATAACTTGTTCAATGGCCAATTCTCCAGAGGTTTCCAGATCTGCCAATATCTTCAACCTCCTCTGCTACAGTAAATCATGTAGCACATATATGCTCTGAAGATATCCATGAGTATCAATGAGAGGTGGGACCTTTGATATGTAGTTGTCAAGCAAAACCAATAGTCTGAAGTGATACTTTACCTCAAAAGTTATTGTGCTTGATAGCTAAGGTTAACACAGTAGTTAGCTGCTATTTCTCATTGCTATATTTTCTGCTGAACGATTTCCATGAAATGTGAAACTATGTTCCTAAAGCTAAATTATCCATTTCTTTATAGAAGACTCAATTAATTATCTAGCTTACAGCAAAATGATTTGACGTCTTGACCTCCTGATTTTTTGCTGTGAGCCTATATGTACAGAAAGAAATGTTTTTTTATACTCATTAATATTTCTAATGCTTCCAGGTGTATAGACAACTGCTTAAAATTCAACAATTGCAGAAACTAAAAGAAATAAATTAAATAAGCATCTTGCAGTATCCTCCCTCCAATGATAATATGATGAAATCTAGGCTTGTGAGATAACAGAAAGATTATAATTCTCTTTACATTTCCCGTCCAAGTTATTTTTTTCTCTCCAAGACAATAGCATTTGCTTTAAGATGTGCTCTAAAATTTAGCTTTCATTCTCCATTTACTTTTAATTATAAAGATGGATGACATTGGGCCAAGACTTAATGAAATAACATTCCATTAAGCCCATCTACTCCTAATCTAATTTACACTAATAGTGGTGATGTCATTATTTATTCATTTCTTTATTTATGCTGACCAACTCTGGACAACTCACCATTTTTTTTAAAAAAAGAAACAACTACAAATACAGTAAAAGTAAATTAAAAAATACAACAAAGGAAGCAAATGGTAAATCTGGATCACTGATATCAAAACATGTGAAAATATGAGAGACACAAACTAACGTGGAGTTCCATCCATTAATCCAGGGCCTGGGAGATCTGCCAATCTTGAAGGCCTATCAGAACACCATAAGGGTAGGAATTGGGACAGACCTTATTCCAGAAGGCAGGTGCCACAGAGAAGCTACAATTCCTGGGTCCTGAAAGATGTCACTGTTTAATCAAGGGGACCTGATGCCTGTCCATTCTGTTGGCCAAGCAGACCTAGGAAGACAGGCAACACCTCAGATGATCAGGCCCCATGCCATGTGACACTATATAGGTCATAACCAGCACCTTAAATCACACCCAAAAGCATTTCATTTTGTTCACCCTAGTAACATCCACTTCTCTTGTAGAAATGCATCCAGAGCAGTTACTCCCCTTGTTTTCCAGCCTAAAAAATGATTATATATGTGTAGAATGAAGTAGAGATACATCATAGCAGCAAAGCATGGCTTGGCTCCTTTAGGTTCTTCCTAGCCACATCTTTTTTGATGAGGGAAGTTTTAAGATGGTTCATTTACTTTGTTTAGTGGGATTTTATCTACAGTACATATTAGGGCTTAAAGGTATAAGTTGTGACCTTTTTTCTGATCTTTAAATGGGTATGTAAGGATTGAGGGTTGAACTTTCTGAAGCAATAATCCTCTTCCTTCTTCATGAGGGCTTTGGTAACATGAAGGTATGAATATGGCCTTAAAGATGATATGCAACAGCCATTACAAAAATATCATCTTAACACAAAGAGAGTAGCAGATGAGAGACAAGCTCAAAACTGCCCCACTTTGACTAACTTTAGCATAACACTACAGCCACAGTCTTTTTTGATCCACTCATCTCCACCCTCATTGAATCCCCTTTTTATATATATACATAGCAGAGGCTCTAATTCACAACCATAGTTACAGCTCTTAGGAAAACTGTTTTCTGTAAAATTATAGTGTCATGGTATCATCGTAGCCTTCAATGGGAATTGATACACAGGAAGAATAATATCTTGACCATCATTTTTCCTTTCATACTAAGCTCAAATGTTTGGTAAGACAGACAAAAATGTGCATGGCATATGTTGAAATCATAGAGGAAAGAGTTTAGCAATTTCCCCCATTTTTGCAGTGGGAGCAAAGTGATTTTGCTCTCAAGAACTACAGTAGCTCAGGGTTTTGAATCATGGTTCCTGCATGGAGGAAGTGTGGCTCATGTTGTTCTCTGCCTTTGCTTAAGAGTCTGAAGTTATAAGAGTGAAGATCACATTACAAAATAACTAGAAACACTATAAACAGTAATGTTACCTAATAGCTAATATTTCTTCCCAAAAATATTAGACATTAGGTAACATTAAAGATATGAAAAATAACATGTTCCAAAAAGTAGAGTTTGGTTAAGAGACTAATATCCACATGTGCCCAAAAAAAAATCTAGTTACAAATGAACAAAAACAGAACAAGTTAGCAGATGCTTGTTGCTAAGGAAACTGTAGCAAAAGTATTTTCCTTTTTTTCCTGGAATCAACAGAAGCCCTGTGCAGAATCTGAAACTTGCATGAGTAACTAAAGGAGCCAGGAGGAGAACCACAGATACACCATTGGGACAGTTGTTTTTTGTTTTGTTTTTTTGCTGGGCTTTGATGATTCAGGTCCTTTTTCTTCCTTTTCCCCATGGCTGCCTTCTGTCTAACTGACACACCCAGATACCTGAGATCACTCTTCATGGAAGTCCCACTAAGTGTTACACCCTGGCTGCACATTCTGGAGGTTGTAATCTGAAGTGTCTGGATGGCACTAGATTCAGTAGACCTGCTTATCAAAGTGAGCCATTGGCCACTTTGATAGCATTATGTCATCCTTGTGAGGTAGTCCAAATAAGAAGCACATCCAGAAGTACTAGCTTTATCTTTATGGTAAGGTTACATTAACAAAATATTTTAAGTCTGGAAGTCCCCCCTTGTCTTTATAATCCAAGAAACTGGGAAGGGTCCCTTGTGAGATATTCCCCACACCCACATTCCTTCTGCAGGCTCATCTGCCTCTTATCTGACATTGCCTAGTCTTAGACTCTTCGTCCTCTTGCCCAAGGTTATTCGCACATACCATTATACATTATCAGTTATGTCCATGTGGCAAGTCACTGCCAGGAGATATCCTGATTCCTAACATGTTTTTAGGCTTGTCTGTCATTTCTCCAAAATTTTATTTGATTTAGGTTGGGTTCCACTTGGCCCCATTTCCCTTACCCCGATTATTTCCAAGTTGGAGGACAGATAAAATTTAACAACTGTTCTGCTACTGTAGTTTCTGTAGTCCAAGAACATATAGGGACAACATTTATTGGACTTCTTTTTTAGGGTTGCCAGGTCTGCTTCCCAAAAATAGCGGACAAGCCGGGGGTGTGTGTGTGTGGTTAAATAGTAAAAAAATAAAAAAAAAAATTTACAATTAAATTATATATTTTCTTACAAACATTTTAACACGCCATTTTAGGTCAGTCGACACAAGCTACAATACATTTTTAAAATGTGAACTGTACATAATTTTATAATATATTTTTATTTTAATCTCATCATTAATTTTTTCGGAGAATCGAGTTCAATGGATATTCAATCTTTGTCTCATTCTAACTTATGAAAAAAAAGACAAAACGCGATTCTCCTATCCTTATTCTCTTAGACTGTACAGCTTTAGATTACGTACCATTTCATCATAAAAAATGATGAATTTTGAATTCATTTTGAATAAAAAAAATGTCCACTATTTTGTGAAAAAATAATGTGAAAAAAGTGGACTGTCCGCTCAAATAGTGGACACCTGGCAACCCTATTCTTTTTCTCCAGAATGCACTATAAATTATAAATGAGGCAGGAGAAGGCATATCTAGTAGATAGCATATCAGCAGCTTCAGCTTGAGTTCTCATAAAGTCAGTGTATTAGTCATCCTTACTTTGTGTCTAAAATTTCCTAACTCCATCCAGAGAGTAATAAAGGCCTCCTTGATTAAAAAGATATGCATAGCTTTGGTGGAATATTTTCTAATAATAACAGTGTTATTTTTTTTTAAATTGAGAGCTTCAATTAAGCAGGATTTATGGCTGAATAAAACCAAAGAACTTAACTATATCTCCCTGTTGCAGCGTACAACATTTGCAAAACAGTGAGCAAGTTATAAAACATTGGGCAAAAGATTAATTTGTCAGTGTATTTTTTTTAAAATGGTGTCTGTTTCATTTGTTTAATTATTTAAATTAAGTGCAGGGAACTCCTTGTTCCATGAAAACTTACTTGGGCCTCCTCTGACCTGGTAAAAGAAAAATACTTTATAAGCAGAATACATATTAATATCTTCAATTTTTCAATACAAACACACTAATTGTATACATTTCTAACATTTGCTAAGAGGAGAGGATTCTAATAAAAAAATGTAATTTCTGGTTAGTTGTGAACATAAATTTTAATAATGAAAACAGACAATATTGAAAAACATGGTGTGGCATCATTAGCATAGACTTCAAATGTCTGATTGGTATAAATCTGCCTGTATACATATATCCAACACCTCGACATAATATTTTTCAAAATTATAGTAATGCATGAAGAGTTACTGAAATGGTGTTTTCATGGGAAGATTTCTTATACTAGGTTGCACAGAGTGATTCATCTATTGTGATACAGTCAGCAAGAACCATATGTAAATCTCTAGGGTTTTAGACTCATCTGGAAATGCCAGAGATGTACTGGGACATGGACTGTCAAATAATGCTTCTGTGGAGCCTATTGAATAAAGGTGAGCTAATATTAATCTTCCATTTAGGAAAAGCCTATCTATTTCTAACCATTACCCTGATATGGTAATCCACCTTTGTCTATCAATCATTCATCCCTGCTGCTTAGGTGCCAACTTCCACTGCCCATTTTGCTCTTTATTGATAACATAACAATAAACAATAACAATAAACCAGCCAAAGCAATGGTATCACTGGAGCACTGAAAATCTACTCTGCTTCTTTAGCAAGGGCATAGTTGTATATGGGACATCACTTGTATTTCAGCTGGGACATTGAAACAGAACATGGTTGACAATGCAGGAAAGCTGATGTTCCAATTCACTTTATGTATCAGAGTCACATGGAATCACTTTATCCAAACTAATTCAGCCTTTCTATTTTATCTTAAGGCACCTTTGGTATAAAGGAAATTGCTGTAGGCTCCATGCTGTGAAACAATTTTTCAGCAGCATGATTTTTTTCCTACTTATAGGAAAAGATTGTAAGTTTTTATTCGTGATAGATTGCATTTTTATATGTGATGGATAGCATGTCCTTGGGAGGTGAAAGTGATTCTAGAGTCTGGAAGTTCATCAGTATTGGGCCACTTCCTAATTTCATTAGTCCCTAATTTCCCATGGAGATTGTAAATCTGCTTAAGAACGTATCAGTTCAGACTATGCTACGACTTCACCTGACTTAGTACTTTTTTTAATAAAAAACTAAATATGAGAACTCCAACATATAGAACATAAGAGGTTAGAACTAATCTAATCTTTCCCTTGGTATATTAATTTTTTATACAGTATGTATTAAAAAATTCCTCTTGAGAAAACATTCATCTGAGAGTTTCTGCTGTAGTGAAGTGATACAATCCAACTCTTGCATATTGTGTACAAGTACAAGTACAGAAATGAACGCTGAATATTGCAGGGATGTAGGCAAAGATTTGATACAATGGTGGGAAATCTTGAAATGCTTCAAATGGACTTTTAAAGTAATTCTTGCTGAAAACTACTGAATTTTATGGTAAGAACTATACTTTAGTTTTTTAAGTACAATGTATGCTGTTGATACAGCACAAATCATAAAAATGAAACATATCACGTTATGAGTGGCCTTGCTGTCTAAATCTTATTGACAGAACAAAGGAGATGGAGGAAGCATATGTCAAGGAAAAGAAGCATAGAAGGCAGAAAGCTTTGTAGAATAGATTAATCCATTTTTTAAAGTCAAGGCTGATAAATATATAGGGAAGAGAGAGAAAGGGAACCAGGACATGCTACTGTAAATGAAAACTCATAGTTTTTTCTTCTTCCATACTGTGTTCAATCAGGTTTTGTCAAATTGATATCACATGGCTAACTGAATGCATGCAGATACAATTTAAAATACAGAGGAAAAGTATTTCCAGCATTTTCAGTTCTCTTTATATCTCCAAGTCCCACCCCATGTTAATTATTGGAAAAATTATTAGAGACTTTCTTGGAAAACTTATTGAACCAGAGCAAATTAAATAATCTTATATTAGAGATGGAGCCTGACACTATTTCAAATAACATTTTCTCAGAAAAATATCAGTGACTAAAGCTTGTGAGGTGGGAACCAATGGTTTTCAAACTAGACAAAACCATAAGTGAATATTGAGCAAATATCTCCTAATTTCAAGGCCATGCAGAAGGCCAAATTTCTGTTAAATAAAAATGCAGGAGAAAAAACTCCCAGAAGTTTAAACAGTCTAGCCAATATATAAGAGTTGATGTCTATGTTCTTCAATACACAGATCTTCTTACATACATGTCTTGTCTACAGTGGAGCATCTTATCTGCCTGACATCCAGGGAAAAAATGGTGGACTGAAGACAGCTCCATGTGCAGAATGAAGAGCCCGTGAATAGACCAGCTCCCTAATAATTCCTCAAATAGAGGATTTGAGATTGCCCACAAATTCTTCAGACAGCTGCTCCTCACAAGGAGAACAAGACAATGATCTCCTGCATTAAAGCTCTGGAAGATGACCACCAAACTGTACTCAGCACCTTTGAAAGGACCCTGAATTTGCATTTTCTAATCACTTTTGGAAATTGCTTGTTAATAGCTATTAGATAGCTTTAGATTGACATATTTTACAGCACCAGATGTAATGGAATGACTGATGATGAGGAAAGATGTTGCCTAATGAAAAGTCAGACAAAAAGGGGAGGTGTCTGCAACTGAGTAATGGGCAAAGAAAGAAACTTAGAAAGGACTTGCTATAACTAATCAGATGGTAAAAAGAGACAGTGGGAGATTTGTACTTTAAGACTTACAAGATTCTGTTAATGTAGACTTATAAAGTAGAATTAACTCATCTTGTTACTTCCTGCCTTATCCACTTGGGAGGCTGACACTGGGTGAGTTTCCTTTAATCCTTTGTGAAAGAAGTTTTAATTACAGTAAAATTTACACACCATTCAAAAGAGATACTAAAAAACTAAGGAGGAAACATAAGGACCAAAACATATCCTCTTCAGCAACCCACACCCAGATAAGCAGAGAGTAACACTAGACAAACAATCAAGCAGAAAACAACATCTTAATCAAGGAACTATCAAACCATCCCCACTAAAATAGCAGGACAAGCTACTGTATATAAATGGATCAAATTCCACACTTTTAGTATTGATGATGTTACCTAATCAGATAATAAAACAACCAAGTTCAGAGAGCACCAAGGACCCCACAAAATATTTAAATTATTCCTGTTACTCCACAAAAGAAGGATCTTTTAGAAGTATTCAAGTAACCAGAAAAAATGGCTCTTTTTAAAAAACAAAATGGGGCTCTATCAATTTGTTAGTCCTCTGGGATGTATTTAAGGCATTTTTAACGGATTTGCTGTTACTCTCACTGAAAAAGTATATTTTGCTTTTGCTAGAAACTCACAGAAGCATTGCATCAAATATTTATAGTAGCTAAAGTTAAATTGTGGCTACCCTATTTAGAGCAGTTTCAATATTCTTTGAAATGCAATAAACAAATTGTTAAGAATCAGAAGCGAATGCTGGAACGTTATAGACTGAGGGACAGAAATGTCAGAAACAATGAAATTTTAAATCTGAAATGTAGGCAATTATGGTCAATTGGGTACAGAGACAAAATCTATTACTTAATGTGGTTACAATTTTTATACCAAGTTATATAAATTGGAGGCATTTGTAACTCAGCAGCAAATTATTAATTTCTTAGGAAATACTGACTGGAAGAGATATCATAGGAAGATTTTTTAAAAAATCGGCACAAGCACTAACATTACAAGAAATTACGGTACAAAAATAATACAATCTAGGAACCTGGAGATAGCCCTTGGATCCAATGGTTTTTCAGTTGAATGGTACAGAACTTGGTATTAGCATCTGTATTATTAAGAGATTTGTAATTGATCAATGATTTAATACAGTATATTAAATATACTTATCGGTAATACTTTTTCTTCCAATGAGTGATCAGTTAGCTGAAAAATCTGAGTGGCGCAGCAGACTAATGCTACTGTTAAAGGTAGTATTTAGCTTCCTGCTGCCTGCAATTACTGCGAGTTCAATTCTCACCAGGCTCAAGGTTGACTCAGCCTTCCATCCTTTCTAAGGTAGGTAAAATGAGGATCCGGTTTGTGGGGGCAATAAGCTGACTTTGTATAAAATATACAAAAGTATGAAGGCTATTGCTTAACGCATTGCAAGCCGCCCTGAGTCTCCGGAGAAGGGCGGCATATAAATAAATAAATAAAAAAACATCTAAAGAGGTTCTTTTCTGTGTACAGGTAATCCTCAGTTAATGACAACTCATTCAGCAATTGTTTGAACTTATGATGCTGCTGAACGAGTGGTACTTGCAATTGATTCTGTAAGTTCCAGTCGTCTCAGCACTTGCAGCAGAGGTGAGTTTCAGCAGGTTCTGACCAGTTCTGGAGAACCGGTAGCGGAAATTTTGAATAGTTTGGAGAACCGGTAAATATCACCTCTGACTGGCCCACCCCCATCTATTCTCTGCATCCCAAGTCCCAGCTGATCGGGAGGAAATGGGGATTTTGCAGTATCCTTCCCCTGGAATGGGGAGGGAATGGAGATTTTACAATATCCTTCCCCTGCCACGCCCACCAAGCCACACCCACCAAGCCATGCCATGCCCACCAAGCCACACCCACAGAACCAGCAGTAAAAAAAATTGAAACCCACCACTGTCTTGCAGTCATGTGATCTAGGCACTTGGCAATCTGCTCCCACTTGTAATTGTTGCAGAATCCCACAGACAGAAGAAAAGTGAATGTGGAATCTGGCAGGGAAGGTCTCAAATCACTCTAAGACTCCCACATCTAGCAGAAACCATCCCTACTCTGCCATACTCATGCCATACAGCACCAGCAAAATCCCACCCAGGATGGCTATTGCTAAGCAATGTGATCACATCACCTTACACTTTTATGACTGCATAGTTAACAATAGGGACTCTATTCCCAATTACCATCATTGACAAGGACTATCTGTAGTGAAGTTTTAGAATTTGATCATGTGACATCCATGGCTGCCTCCATTGTTAACTATCTCCATAGCAATGGATTACAACACAAGACATTTCAAGCATGTCTTCAAGAAGCAGAATATAATGGCTTAATTTCTCACATGGAAATAAGATGGCTGAGTCGAGGATGCATATTTTAGAATTTCATTACTATAAAAGACGAAGTAACAAAATTTATAGCAAATGAACTGAGAAAATTCAAAGACCTTGAAGATGAAGAATGGAACTATGACTTTTCTTTTGTGATGTCTCAACTCATATAAATAATGTGAATCTGCAGCTTCAAAGAAAATACTGTATCAATTCATCTTTAAAATGTATGATTCAATAAAAGCATTTAAAATGAGATTGTTATTTTTTCAAAGGATATTGAAAAGAGCTTTGAAAAGGATCTTTCCTACTTGTACTCAGCATATTCCTAATGCAAGCTCACTGAGGTAAGAAAAAGTACAGACAGCATGTTAGTCTTATAATTTATTTATTTATTTTATTTATTACATTTTTATGCTACCCATCTCCCTGTAAAGTGACTTTGTGGCTAATTGAAGAATTCACTGAAAAGGTTCTTTTGACTGAAGAAGAAAAGATTCAATTAAACATGATTGCAAATCCATTTGCTGTAAATTCAGAAGAAATATCACCAGCTTTATAATAGAAATAATCATCTTGTAGTGCTGAGGAACTTGTAAATTAAAATTTAAGGAAATACATTTGATTTTTCTTTACAAATGTTCACAGGAAGTAAACTTAAAAAACTCATCAAAACTGCTCAGAAAACTTTGTTCTTTTGGAAGAACATTTATATGAGAACAAATGTATTTACATATATGAAAACATGAATAAAAACAGGAAGCAGCAGATTAAGCTAAGCAGAATCACATCAGATACTTGTACAATTAGCACAGCCCCTTCCCCAAGGCTGTGTGCGCTCTCCACTTCTCTCTATATACCAATGACTGCATCTCAAACAATCCATCTGTTAAACTACTGAAATTCGCAGATGACACAACAGTGATCGGTCTCATTCGCAACAATGATGAATCTGCATACGGACGGGAGGTTGAACAACTAGCCTCGTGATGCGACCGGAACAATTTGGAATTGAACACATTCAAAACCGTAGAAATGGTGGTGGACTTTAGGAGAACCCCTCCCATACTACCACCTCTTACAATACTAGACAACACAGTATCAACCGTAGAGACCTTCAAATTTCTAGGTTCTACCATATCTCAAGACCTAAAATGGACACCTAACATCAAAAACGTCATCAAAAAAGCACAACAAAGAATGTTCTTTCTGCGCCAACTCAGAAAGCTCAAACTGCCCAAGGAGCTGCTGATCCAGTTCTACAGTTCTACTTCTATTGAGTCTGTCATCTGCACCTCTATAACTGTCTGGTTTGGTTCTGCAACCCAACAAGACAGACACAGACTTCAGAGGATAATTAGAACTGCAGAAAAAACAATTACTACCAACCTGCCTTCCATTGAGGACCTGTATACTGCACAAGTCAAAAAGAGGGCTGTGAAAATATTTACAGACCCCTTGCATCCTGGACACAAACTGTTTTAACTTCTACCCTCAAAACGACGCTATAGAGCACTGCACACCAGAACAACTAGACACAAGAACAGTTTTTTCCTGAATGCTATCAATCTGCTAAACAAGTAATTCCCTCAACATTGTCAAACTAGTTATTAAGTCTTCATTACTATTAATCTTCTCATCGTTCCTATCACCCATCTCCTCCCACTTATGACTGTATGACTGTAACCTTGTTGCTGGTATCCTTACGATTTATATTGACTGTTGCCTAATGTGATTTGATTGCTTATTTGTTCCCTATGACTATCATTAAGTGTTGTACCTTATGATTCTTGACAAATGTATCTTTTCTTTTATGTACACTGAGAGCGTATGCACCAAGACAAATTTCTTGTATATCCAAGCACACTCGTCCAATAAAGAATTCTATTCCATTCCATTCCATTCCATTCCATTCCATTCCATTCCATTCCATTCCATTCCATTCTATTCTATTCTATTCTATTCCAAAATCAAACAGGATTGTTCCATCACTAATGAACATTTGCAAAACTTTTAATAATATATAAACATCTCATTTAACTTGACAGTACAAAAAAGTTGCAGGGTATCACTTTGATATATCCAAGTTTTTGTACTTAAACAAATAGTGTAATATTTTTCATGTTTTTTTTAGAATGCACTGCTGTTTTCCCCAAAATTATTCCCTTATAACCCATGATTATTCATAATGTATCAGTGTGGATGGACTTTCCTTTCTAAGAGTTATGCAGGCCTGCTGTAGAAGTAGGGAGATTGAGAAAGAAACTTGGGATTTCAGCTATATTCTTTGAGTGAATTTCTAATACGTTATTCTATTCTTTGACCTGTTCCCCCCCATAGTCTTTTAAGGGATTTCAGGTGATCTGTGGAGGCCAAAGGAGAGAGAGAAAGCGACAAATAATTTGTGTGTGGATTTGTGTTTACATCTGTATGTGTGTTGGGTGTGTGTGTAGGTTTTCTATATAATACTTTCTGCATTGCTCTGTATCATATTCAATGTTGAATTATTATTCTCACAGTTTTAACCATCGGTTTACATAGTATTCTGTAAATTCTTTTGAAAATAAGTGGGTTGCATGAAAGAAAAGCTCGGGGAACTGCAAGAAATAATATTAAGTAAATATAATCCTGGGTTGTGTTACTCGTTCTAAAAGATTCTTTATAAGGCAGTTGCCTTAGTAACCCAGAATGCAGAATTAAATACAAGTATCTATTTATTTTTATAGAAACATTTAATCACCTGTACATATCTTAATGCTCCATATTTATACCTATCGGGAGATCTTGTATCTAGTTGCTCTTCAATATTAGGTTGACTAGGGTGTGTATGTTTGTGTGCATGCACATGTGGGCATGTTAATGCTATGCATAGCTTTTATTGATTTGATTTGTCTATATTGTAATGTTTGGAATCTTTTGGAAGATCTGTATAGAAAAATTATAAATAAATATTTTATGTTGGAATTTGATGTATAAGTCTGTGTGGAAAGGCTAAAGGTGAGGTATCCCAATTTTGCCATTTTTAGTTACTCCACTGTTAAGTAGGAATAGCTTGACCATCATGTCTATCACTGCCTATTCTCATTATTCAGAAATAGACAGCCCACTCAATTCAATAGAGCTTCTTCCCAGAAAACAGTGTATGAGATCAAAGTCTTAATGTATATCCATCTTCTGCTCACATTTTATCCTTACATATCAGTTCTCAGTCACACATACACAGAAACACAGACTGCTCTAGATGTACAGAGATTAAGAAAGGAATTTGAGATTTCAGCTACAGCTACAGCTACAGCTTTCAGTTTTGAGTGAATTTCTAATAAACTATTCTATTCTTTGGTCCGTGCCCAACAGTGCTCTTTGATAGGATTTCAGATGCTCTGTGAAGGATGAAGGCATTCTTCCATCTTAAGAGTTATTAAACATTTTAAAATGGAAATGTTGCCATTTTTCAAAACAAGAACTTTGAGAGCAAATCTGTATCTTTGGCATTCCCACTGCAGGAAAACTTACAATGCTGGTTCATAAGTAATTCTGGGAGATTTGGAAGCCAGGTAGGGTTACCTGATATCTGAAGAGTCAATGGAGGACATAAAGAATTGGGAAGGAGATTAAATGGGAGTGGGGGAAGGAGGACACATTGTTTAACTTTCTTGGCATCCACAGCAAAAATTACAGTGAAAACTGGAAAAGAAAGTACTTTGATCTATACGTATATGAAATTACTTTTTCCAAAATGACACAGATAGGCTTTTTAATAACTGGAATGTATTAGACCTGGTTAGGCAAGCTTTCAGTTAGTAACTGATCTTGTCAGTTTCAGGCATCAGTTTCAGGCACCAGCAGGAGGAAGGTTCTTAATCAATTACTTAAAGTAACAGAGGGAAGCTTGTTAACTTTCCGTTATAATTTATTAGGGAAGCACTGTATTGCAAAGAAAATCTGGAAGATAGACAAAAAGCTAGATAGTATTAGATTTTTAAGGAATGCCTGGTGGATGCAAGACATGAAGACAAAAAGGAGGACGTGTCTTCCTTTTGCCAGACATTTTGTAATCCTAGTGACAGCAGTATTTCAGACCTTCACTGGGTCCAATTGACATGACAGAATAATCGATATTTTTTTCTTTAAAAACAAAAATAGAGAGCCTTTATGTTATAGGGATGGATCTGACCCAATAACTCACAAGACAAGTATATATATTTCTCTTAATTCCTTTTATTGCTGGCCTGACTTAATCCTAGGCCTATCCAGTTAATTGCAACTGACCTTTGTTCTTTCCCTTACAGATATACATCTGGAACTGCTGGATGACCTCGTGGTGGAAGGTCTTATACCCAGGGGGAGGAGTCAGGAGATAACGTGTGGTTATGGGGATGATGGGATATGTGATCTGTTAACTCTTGCAGAGCTGAGGGGTTGTTGTGTGAGAGAGTTAGACATTTAACCTGACACTTCATTTGTATTTGTGATATATCATGCTGATCCAGTTAATGTCACTTTGTGAATGATGGAGGAAAAAAAAGATTTATCTTTTTTTTTTCTTCTGGAAACGACAGGCATTATAAATATTGGGGCAGAAGGAACACAATGAATTATAAAGCTTTTCACCAGCTATCACAGATACATGACTGATCTGACCGTTTTCTCTTCCAACTCTACATCAATTGAGGATCTTTGTTGGTGTGAAACCAATCAATGCTATAATTAATCAGCTATTTCCTTAGGTGGTATGATGGTCTGGATAATTTTTATTCATATAATTATAAGATTAAGATAAGAATATTTCCAAGTTCAGGGGCGTCAAATGGGAGGAGGGATATGTAAACAAATCTTCCACTTTATTATCTGAAACCGACAACTTCATCAGTTACTGTTTTGATGAGGCAAATGGGGAATTCAGGGCATTTTACTTACTGATTGCCCTGAAATAATTAGTCAGTGGAAATGAGGGAGGTGACAGCTGAAGACCTCCAGAGCTACTTCTAGATCACTAGGAAATGACAATGTGTTTCCCCCTGTCTTCTTGTTAACACAGAGACCAAAACCTGGGAGGTGCTGATGAGAATAGCAGATCTAGCAAAATTATCTGTTTACCACTTTGGATGGTGAGAGACAAATTAAATATTGCATTGACAACAGAATAGCAAAAGCACTTAGACTTATATAGCACTTCACTTCACCTCTCTAAGCAATTTACAGAGTCAGCATATTGCCCCCAACAATCTGGGTCCTCATTTTACTGACCTCGGAAGGATGGAAAGCTGAATCAACCTTGAACCTGGTGAGATTTGATCTGCCAAATTGCAGGCAGCTGGCAGTCAGCAGAAGTAGCCTGCAGTACTGCACTCTAACCACTGCGCCACCGCGGCTCCTAGAATCATATTAATATATCATTTTTATAACAGCAGCTGATCAAAACTTGGAACCTGGTACATAATATTTCTTTATGTACACGGGAAGTCCAAATTGCCTACATGTAAATTTATGTATAATCTGGAAATCTTCCAAATTGAGGGCTGCAGCTCATAGAAGACTATGCAGAAAGGACTATCCTGCTCAAGCATCTATATTTTAATATTTCAAAGGCTGGGCTTGAGAAACTGCTGCATAATAGCAGGAGCTATGGTGGCAGGAGCTTGCTGACTTTTTCAATGCGGTTGGGAGGATAACCACTCTCTGTCAGATCTTTATGTTCATGGAAGTTGAGGATGACAAATTCCAATATGTGCCTATTATCAGGGCATGGGGTATTTCATTTATCTAACATCAGCTTGGAATTAAACTTTAAAGCAAGTGGGACAGGGGTGGGTTCTACTTACCTTTACTACCGGTTTGCAATGGGGCCACGTGCGTGCATGAGCGAAGCGAGCGTACACGCACGCTCTTCTGCGCATGTGCAGAAGCGTTCTGATAACATCGGGGTTGGTGGGCGGAGCCTCCCGCCAGTTTTACTACCGGTTCTATAGAACCAGTGCGAACCGGGGGCAACCCACCACTGAAGTGGGAGATCCAAAAGGTTCTAGATGTGGCTTGCAGTCAATGTCATTGTCCAAAGGAAAACTCCACTGTCCATTTCCCTGGAGGAAGGAAGTAGAGGATCAGACACATTAGACTTAATAGTTACTAAGAAAGAAGAAGTAGTTGAAGAAGTGGAAGAGGTAATGACCTTGCATGAGAGCGACCATGTAATCCTAGTATGCGCCATCAAGAACAGCTAAAGAGGCCAAACTAGACTGAACATCTTAAGCAGATTAGTCACTGATTATCATCATGTGAACACAAAACGATATTTCCTTTATAGAAAATAGGGTTTTGATTTGATGTTGGCTATTGTTAGCGTGTCCATTGCTTCAGACTTTTCCAGACAACCAAATGCCTCCATCAAGGACCAAAGTAGTAAAAGTCTACATGATGTAGCCTGTATATTAGTGGTTTTCATTTCTCTGCCTTTGGCAAGTGCCTTTTGGGCTCATGTTTTCCATCCTTTTTAATTCTCATGATCCATTGTAAGCTCTTTTTCTGGCTCTTTCTTTTGCTTTCCCATCTGACAAAGCCATCATGTAATCCAACATATGAAACAATATTAGATCTGGATTGCCTTATTTCATCTGAGGTTTATGTCTTACAAAGGACTTAAAGGGATTAGCATCCATTGGGAACAAGAGAATAGAGTAAGCATTCATTTTCTATGATGTATTTCTTTCCACTAAGTATTGGTGTCATCCTTGCAGAGAAAGGATCTACGAGTTTTGCATAACTTATTTTCTTATTGTCTGATATAGTAAACTTCTTTTAAAATAGCACACTCTCTCTCAGGTTTTCCACATGGTTTCTTTAGGGTGTGAAAAGCTCTCCGTGTTTTTGTTGTTTGTTTTTCAAATTATCTTCTTCAACTTTTGTTTTCCTAAGGTAAATCTATTTTAGATATAGATCTAGCGTAAAAGTGTCTAGAAACTGTAACGTGATGGCATGATGAAGTAAATGGTGGTGACATCAGGACTGATGTGCCAGCTGCAACCATTCCTGTGCAGTCAGATTTCAGGACAGTGAAATCTGCCTTGATTATACTTTGTTTTCTTCTAGACAAGAGGTTTCCAAAAACTCCAACCAATGCAAAATTGGCACAGTTGAGGCAACTGATCCCTGATAGAAAGATGACATTATGTCCACATTAAAAGATCTGCAACGGTAGCCATTTGCTTTCAGGGAACAAGTTAAGGCCTCACGTTTTAAACTCATAAATGGCTTCATGATTGATTAACCGAGGTCCAACTATCATGACTCTAGAATCTTCAGAGGGACTTTTTTTGAAAACATCCATGTTTTTAGTACGGATGTCTTCTGCATTGTTGCCAGAATAGTATTTGGTCCTCCTGTTCTCTGTCTTTAGAAATTAATTTAAGTAAACGGGTACAGAAAGAAGGCTAAAATATTGATTTCCTATTAGGAACTGTCATCCCAGTTGTTAAGAGTTCAACCTGGCATCCAGTTTTTCCATAACAGGTTCACTTAGCATCAACAACTATGTCAGTTTTTAAACTAAGTAAATACCTTAATTTTTCTGAGTATTTAGTCCTTAATTTGCCCTCATGGTTTTTGCTCAATTGCTTTTTCCCCCCCATTTTATTTCTGAGTACTGTGAGAATATTTATCTAAGAGTGACAGAAATCTTTTCTCTGATAAATCAACAAGCATGTAGGCTATGACCAGCATCTAAACTACAGTTTGAATAATTTTGGACATCCAAGGAGATTGGGAACTTGCTTTGTTGAGCAAGAATTCCTGACTCTCAAGGGTAAATCTCTTTAGAAACTAAGGATTTAACATATTATATGGCTTTGGGAAAATGTCAGTCATTCATAGTGAAAATTCTAATGGGCATCCATCCAAGTTTTTCAAACATATGATGTAGATCTTTGAATATATCCTGTTCTGTCCTGGAATATAATTGTGGACAATGTAGTTTCTCTTGGTGGTATAGTTCAGGCAATAATTTTATGTCTACTCCTATGAGAATTTTTTTAACCACAAATTCAGGATGTAAGCTCTGTGATCAATCTACCATGAAGAAACTAGTTTGTGTGAATTGGCCTGGTTTTCAATTGTGGAGGTTAACAGCTGCTTCAGTGTGATAACATTTATAATGAATGCAGTGTATTCAAGGGTCAGCATAAGAAGCAATCAGTCCCCCATGTCTGCCTGAAGACTGTTTGAGGGAACAGGTTGTCTGTGTTATTACCTATAAACAGCATAAAAGTAACTCAGCAAATTGGGATATAGTGATTTCAGCTATACTGTTTTTATAATCAGTAAACACCGTTTTGTCAGTACTCAAAAATGTGTCATTCAAGTGTTAGTGTATTAAAAGATAACCAGTTTCTGTATAGCAAGGGAATTAAATATTGTATTCTATATGCTTATGAAGTTAAAGTGATTTGATGTAAACATAGCCCTACAAATTCAGAAGAAGAGTCAACCGATTCCAGCGACATGGACATTTCATCAGGGAGAAAGACCATAAGTAGGATTCAAAGGCAAGAAAAACTTAAACTCAAGAGCTTTGCATGTAGTAGATCTCAGCAAAGTTTGGTTTGTACAATTTTATAAGGATCTATCAAAAGAGGATGAAAAATAAAATAGTTGCTTAATCCCAAGCAAATTCCTCTATTGTAGGTTACAGTTTCCTGGATCTCCAGGCTCTGATGTTCCAAGGTTGGTTATCACTCTTAAAGCCTTATATGGCATAGGCACTGCCTATCCCCTGTTGTTTCTGCCTGCCCACAAGGCCTAGCCAGCAGGAGAGTCTCCAGGCCCCTTCTATCAAACCATGTCATCTTGTACTTTATGTATTTCTTCATATCTCACTTTTACTATTTGCATAAATAATCCACGGCTGTGGACATACCAAATGCTGCTTCCCCTTATTTTCCTCACAACAACAAAAACCCTGTGAGGTAAATTGGGCTGAAGAAAATGGCTTACCCAAGGTCATCTAGCTGGTTTTCAGGACTAGAACTCATGGTCTCCCAGTTTCCAAGCCAGCACCTTAAAACATATTAGACCAATATTGTTGAATCCTGGAGTTGTGCCTTCCCTATTGAATAGCATCCCACCTAGATTAAGAAAGATGTGGATTAAATGAGAGACTGACAGGATTTGAATAACATTTAAGAGGGGGGAGGAATAATAAAATTGTAATTATCTGTTGAAAAGAAGGTCAGAGAAGTCACATATTTCTTAACTTTAATTTTATTCGCAGTTTCTTGTTTTTTTTTCTTCTTTCTTTTCTTTTTGATTTGTTTTTTATTCAATGGGAAAAAAATCTTAATAATTTGAAAAAGAAGAATAGCATCCATCTGGAGATTTGGATAGTCCCGACCCTGTTAGTTTTTCGCCCTGGTTGTTCCTTCAGACTTTGGAGCCAGGAGGTTAGGTGAGTTCTGCTGGTGATGTGTTTTTTTGTGATTTTGTTGTTGTTGTTGTTCTTAACCTTAAGCATCATGAATTCCATTTTCTTGTGGTTTTAATCTTCATTGGCCATCCAGAGTCACTGTTTTGAAGTGGGCAGCTATACGAATAATAATAATAAAAAGCAAATAAATCCTGCCTATTAGAACACCATTAAGCTATCTGCAGTGCCACCTTCACAATCCTGATGTCTGAGATTTTTTTCTAACCTTTTTAAAGCAATGTAAGATGGTGACCATCACCCTATCAAATTCAGTGTCCCAGTCAGTATCATAAGTCGCAAGCAATTTTGCAAATGTATTCATTTTATTTATTAACTCTAAAAGACACATATAGCTACCCATATTGTAACCAAAATCCTGAGGGTTTTGTAAAAATAGTAAAAGTACCAAACAGTACAATCAAACCCTATTACCAACAACAAACAATATAAAAACTCAATAAAAGCTCAATAAAAACTTATAACACCCTGCGGCAACCCTTTCTCACACATCCAAACATTGGACTATCATTAAGGATTTAACATGCTTGAAATCCTTGGGCCAGGAATAGCAGAGGAACAGAGATTTTTGGCAGGTTACTATTTTGGGCAGTATGAAACTATTTCGTCCTTATACATTACAAAACAGCCTGTGCTTATCCAGCTATTTTATTTGATAACATACTGAATTC